GCATATGATATAATCAGTTTTATTTCCAAGAAATAAATTCATGCCACAACCAGAGGAATAATTCAGTGGGAACTTGTGAGAACACAAATGACTGGAGCTTTTAGGAGAAAGAAGGCATCTGCTGAATGGGGGCAGGAAAGCCCTTGTTTAGAAACCTTAAGAAGCCCACGTACACCCAGGCTCTGTTAGGAGCCAGACTGCCACTGAAACAAGCCCAAAGGAGCAAAGAGCTTTGTGGCCTAAGACAGCCAAGTATTTTTTTTTTTTTAATGTTTAGAAACAAAATCCTATATAAGTCAGGAAAATTATATAATATAGCCTTAGTATCCCATCACTAGCTCTTATAAGAACTAACTTTTGGTTAGTTTTCCTTTATGTATACTTTCACCCATTTTCCTGCCTTCTGATTAAATCCCAGGCATCACTGATTGCATCTGTAAACATCTTCATACATATCTCTAAAAGATTACTACTGCCTTTTCAAACAAAACAGCACCACTGTCACAACTAGAAGAGTACAGAAATTCTCTTACATTGCCAAGTGTGCAGTGTTCAAATGGTCTCAAAAGATCTGTTACAGTTTATTCAAATCCAGAATCCAAAAATTGTGCACATCTTGTGATTGGCTGGTACATCTTTTTAATAGGTGCCTTTTATTCTTTCACAATACTGCAATTTATTTTTTTTTGAAGAAATAGGTCATTTGGCCTATAACATCCCCCAGAGTCTGGATTTTTGCTGGCCAGCAATTTTAAATTAAAGCTTTTATGATCAATAAATCACACTGCCTGTCCCTGTGAGCACTCATTGGCTCCAAGCCCAAAATCATATAAGATTTGTGTTACTTTCTTCAGATGCAAGAAGCAAAGACACTGTCAAAGGCCACCTTTAGTGGAAAGCTTTACTATAAGAACACACATGAGATGGGATAAAAAATATAGAAATCTAGACTGTTATCTTCCAAGGATTCCAGGAAAATTCAGGCCTCTCATTAAAAAACAAACAAGCAAAAAACAAAATGAAGGAAACTTTAGAACAGCGTAGCTTCTGGAAAACCAGCCCAACTCAGAGTCCTGCTAGATGCAGACGCATCCTAGTATCCAGGTCACCAGATGCTCTGCCTCACGCAGACTTCTTTACAAAATGCCTTCCTTACAGGGTGCTACCTTTCTGCTCAGCCTGCCAGCCTCTGACTATCCTGCCTATGTCCTTAGATCAATGACCTGAAAGGGTTCTAATTGGTCTAATGAGTCATTATTTCCCTCGGAGAAGGGCTTTTATGCCAGACTTCTCCCTACCACCACACTTCAAATCATTCATCATTGCCACTTACACGTTAGCACCCTTAATTTGGGGACTTCACACCAGCCTCCTCATTTGTGACCAGAGTGAGAGGGTCAGAATGTGGCCACTTCACTGAACTATTTATGGCACTTTGCTCTTCAGAGTAAAAGGCCCAAGTTAAAGCATTTGTTCCCAAAGATAAATCTAGGGGATTTAAAAACCACCACCACCATCTTGCATACATCACATTATAATTAATCCATGACTAGGACTGCAAAACAGGAGAGTTTATCAAATCACAATAAGTCTGGTTGGATTATTTCCTATAGAACCTTCATCTGTATTTATATTTTCCTGTTAAACTATAAACTTTTCTAATGAACTAAAGATATTTTGAATTTCCTCTTGACAGGCAAGACATAGAGACAAAGATGGCGACAGAGACACAGACAGAAGGCACGCTTTTCCACACTGTGTCTTCTTTTAATTTCTTAAAACAAAGCAGTAAAACCAAGCAAGAAAAGCATTAACAGGAGTTCTCCAATTGTCTATTTCAATCTTCCTTAGCTTTACCTCACTTCCGGTAGGAGAAGCCTTAGCTCTGACGTGACCAGACGTAACGTGACCTGACGTAACGTAACGTAACATAACGTAACGTGACGTGACATGTCTACACTTCAGCTTGCTGATCAAATGTGTTCTACGGACAGGAAGCGTTCAGAAAATCTACCTCAGTTATAAAAAGCACAGGAAAACACCTGCTTGTGGGCAGGGACAGTCGATGTAGCATGTTTAGTCAAAGGGCAATTTAACCAAGAGAAAGATACTAATAGTGTTTTATTCGGCAACTGACTATGACTAAACTTAAAAGGATCATAAATTCCCATAACACCTAGCTGAATGACAAGGTTTAATAATTTTTCTTTTTGAGCTAAAACTGTAACTCTGACAAGCACATACATTGTTCATATACTTACCATGATTTCCTCATATAATTTACTTTTCCTTACACAGATGCTGAGATACTACTACTCCTGCAAAAAGACAGTGGAATTTTACCCCTTTCTCAATCTTAGTGTTAACTATATTTAGTTTTCATTTTCATTTTATTTTTCTCAGTGATTTGGGTCATTTATATACTACATTCTTACAGAAGAGAACTGTGCATTGCTTTTCATGCCTAAAAAGCAATTTAATTAAAACTCATCTGCTCTGAAAATTGAACCTTATTTTATCAGAAAGACACCTTGGACCAAACCTATAACAAAGAGAAATTAGAGACAACTGTGAAGCATATAGTGCAAGAAAATTCACATCAACAGCAAATTGAATTGGATACCTTATCTAATTCATAAAATCACAACTGATGGTTTCTCTTCATATTGATGATTTTTCTCTAATCACTAAAGGGACTGTTTCTGCCTGAAAAGATGAATGGGCCCAAAAGGATGGCAAAGCACTTGGATAAGACAGCACATTCTGATTAAGACAAAATTGCTTTTGGGAACCATCAAAAGTTACAGAAAATGACCAGTTATAACAACAAATTAATGAACATAAAAAGAGTCATATCAGCCCAGTCAAGGCCGGAATGCAATATTGGTGGAAGAGACATCAGCTAAATTACAGGGATGAGCTACAAGAAGCTGGAGCAATCAAATAGAAAGCTTTCCACGTGAGCACAGCATCTTTATTCAACAGTCTGGGGCCAGTGGCCCCATCTTGGCCTCCTCTATAAAGAACAAGAGCGCTGTGCTGTATTGGGTCAGATTAAACCTTCTTAACTAAGGCTGCCATCTTCCACTTACCAAAATGAAGCCCCAGACATCCATTGCCCATCTAAGAAGAAGACACGGCATTTTGATAATGTTGTCAACTCACGAAATATTTAAAAATCCAAGAAAGGAGTTAGAAGATATTTTAATTTTTGTCACATACTTATCTCTGCATGGCATACTCTTTTTAATTAAAAATAATGTGGAACATTTGTTACTCATCCTTGTCTTTCAGCAAAAAATAATTTGGCAAGTAATTATTTTGTCTTTGGGAGAAAGATAATCATTTCTAAATTATTATGATTAAGTAGAATAAAGTTAAGACATTTTTGTAATTGGTAGAACAATTATTCCTTATTAGAGTATTTTGTTTTAAAACTTCACTCATGTCTGATTATATAAAAACATCAAACAATGAAAGTACCAAGAAAGTATTTTTAAAAAATTACCTGTAATCATATCATTCAGAGAAAATTACCATTCACATATCTAATTAAATGTATACATTATATATTTAATATATAAACATATGAAAGTGTTTTTATACACATATATGTACTTATATATAATCTTTTATGATATAAAATTATACAGACTAGTTTTTCAATAGAGCCTTTTCTTAGACATTGTAAGCATTTTTTCAAGTTAATTCATAAAGATCTATGTCAATGTTTTAACATCCATGTAGAATTGTGTTATGTTATTTGCTCACTTAGCATATATTAATGAATTTTCAAGTTGTTTTCAATATTTCACAATTATAAATGGGATTAATACATCTTTGAATTACAATCTGAACTCAGGCACAAACATGAGACACTTTATTCATACTGTGGGTCACAAATACAAGGTAAATGTTCCAGTGGAACATTTGAACATACCTTACAGACATTTGAAGCAGCAATTCCACTTGGTATTATATATACATTTTTCTGTTAGCTCAGAATATTTTAAATTTCCCCTCATGTATTCCTTTGCAGGACTTAAGAGATAAATATTGGTGACTGAGTTTCACATATTAATTTTCAAGTTGAAGCCTGCAGGGTTACCAGGGCAACAGAGGGGACAGTCACACTCATCTTAGGGTGACAGAGTCCCTTGACTGTATGCACCCCATGTTTCTCCCCTTGCTTTATGACGTGGGAGGACACTGAGGCATTCCAGTGAGTGTGATTGCTCATACCGTTTCCACTGTTGGGCCCTTCACTAACTTCATCTAACACCTCCTTTAAATTTAGCCAAAAATGCCAAAAAATGCTTTCTACGAGTCTCATGTCAATAATAATCATTTCTCTCTTCTAAAATCCTTGCTACAAACAGCATCATCTTATTCTTGACTTTCATGGTTATCTTGACCTTGGTTTATCTTTGGTTTGTCTATCCTGCGATCTTTGATAATCAAAGATCCTAGAATCCAATTTGTTAACATCTTGTATTTCAAATAATGCACATGTTGAAGATAGTATATTAAATGATATTGTATCAACTGAATATTTCAGTTTTCAGACATCATCAATATGCTTTATTTATTTATTTAATTTAAAATAAAAATTACCTCTGATTTTTGTCAGTTTTATTCATGTATTTCTGAGCCTTTTCTGGACCTGCCAGTCGAACCTAGAGTCTTTATACTGAGCTATAGCCCAAGCCCTTTTATCTTGTACTTTGAGAAGAGTCTCACTAAGCTGCCTTGTAGCCCAGCTTGACCTGAACTTGCAGTTCTCCTGGCTTATCCTCCCGGAAGACTGGGATTACAGGCTTGTTCCACCAGGCCCATCTTTTGGTCCACTTTAGAGAAGACATTTGAAAAATAAAACCTATTTATTTTTAAATGTTGAAAACAAAAGGCATTAATGGGGTCAAGTGCTTGACAGTTAAGTCAATCTCTGTGATTATTTATTTAACATACATTTTGAAGTACTTCTTAGCAAAAATGCATACCTTTTAAACAATCTCTCCAGCTTTTGAATATGATTTTCCATACTTTGAGAAGAGGTCAAATGATGAGAAAACAGTTTGGAAATCCTAGGAGGAAAAAGATCAAAGATTACCACGGAGATAGTCTTATTTTTGTCATTACAACTGAGATTATATAAATCACTAGAGACATATAGTTTAACTGCACTTCCAATATCCCATTCAAAACTGAAAACAAAATTAGCACGTCAACTCTGGAGCCTTGTGGACTGAAAGCCAGGTGCACTGGGCATTCCCAGAGCTCTGGTCACCTCCTTCTTAAGTGGCATGAACACGGTAGAATTTCCTACAACAAAGTGAATTTTCATCTAGCACTTAGCATCTCTATTCCTGCTTTTTGCTGTTGCTGATGTTCCCATTGCAAGCATGAAGGCAGCTGGAGGCCAGCGTGGTGCAGGCAGCAGCTGCAGGTGCTGTAGTATGGAGTGTGTCATGGACATAATCCACGCCACTATTAACTGCTAGTGCATGAAGTTCTGGTGTCTTTGTAAGTGGGATAGTGATTTCCTCAGGTTGGCAAACTGGTGAAGACTGAAACCTACAACTGAAAATAGCTTCATTTTTATAAATATCAACTAATACTTTATTTAACTTCCAAACTGTAGTCCTACTTTGTAAGCAATGCTAACAACAACAACAAAAAGTTTTATTAGGGAAAGAAAATGATACAGGTTAGAAGTTCAGCTGTACCCAAAGAAATGAAGAGTACTAGAGAAAGAAAGGTAAAATAATACTGCTCATTTTCTTATTCTTCACTGACCTAACAGGTGACAGTTTTGCTTACAATAAGAATAACAGTTCTGTTTTAAAATAACAAGAAGTGTGCATGGGCATCATGTCTTGGGAGTGAGACCGTTAGGGACGCAGTGTCACAGAAGACTCTGGAGGAGAACCCAGGACTCATCTGTGAGCAAGTGTGGAATGCAGATTTGAACTCGTTGTAAAAATAAATTCCACACCCTTAGAGAAACTACTAAAAAATGTTTTAAAGAAAGGATAATTGGTAAGCTGAGATCAGGGAGAAAAATGGAATCATATAAAATGCCTAATGAGAACCAGAAAGCCTAAATTTATGAAAAGAAAAGCAAAACAATAAGAGCAAGAGAGAGTCAGAACTGAAAACATGAATCCAACTTTAAAAGGGAACAGCTTAAATACACCCAAAAAAGGATGAAATGGAAGAGGCAAAAGTCCATCTACATGAAACCCACTTTAAATATAAAACCCCACACGAAATGAAAGGGAGAGAGAAAGATATACCATAATAATCCTCACCAAAAGAAAGCGGGACTTGCTGTATTAATTTCAGACAAAACAGACCTCAGAAGAAGGAAAAGTATCAGCGATACAGCAGGCCATTACACAGTGACAAAGTGCTCGAGTCTCCACGAGACACAGCAGTCCTTAGTGTGCATGTACCTAGCGAGTGAATGTCAAAATCCATGAGGCGAAAACTAATAGAACAGCAGGAAGAAATAGATGAGTTTACTACTGTAGTTGGAGAGTTCAACACCCCTGTCCTGGTAACTGACAGATCCAGCACATAAAAAATCAGCAAGGGTATAATGGAACTGAACAGCACTGTCAATCAGATCTGGATGTCAAGGTGTCCAACAGCAGCAGAATGAATATCACCCTCAAATTCACAGGGAGCATTCGCCACGATAGACGTGTCCAGGGCCAGCTATCAGATGCACCTTAACATGTTTAAAACAGAAGAAGCACACGAAGTACGCTCTCAGGCCATGGCGGAATGAAACTAGGGACCAGCAGCCTAAGAACAGAGACAGCCTTTCCACATGTTTGAAGATTACATAACACAGGGGTCAAGGAAATCTCAAGAGAAATAAAAAATACTTTAAATAAAACTGTCAATTAAACCTTGTCAAACTAGTTTACTGAAGGAAGCAAAGGTAATGCTTACAGAGGAATGTACAGCATTGAATGAACACAGCAGAAAAGGAGAAAGATCTAAAATCAATAATCAATTCTACTTTAGGCAACTAGGAAAATGAAAGCAAATTCTATCCAAATAAGGAGAAAAGAAATAATGAAATCAGAGCAGAAATCAATGAAATTGAAAATGGAAAACCGAAAGCATCAGTGAAACATTACTTCCTTCCAAACATTAGTAAAGTTGATAAACTCATTAATCAAGGTAACCAAGACCAAAAAGAGAAAAACAAATTACTAATACCAGAAATGAAACAGATCACTGCTTGTGACTCTAGTAAAGGAATACTAGAGGAACCTACGAAGATGAATTGGGTAGCTTAGTTGAAATGGACCAATTGTTTTAAAGAAGCAATCTATTGAAATCCACACAAGAAATGAATGATCTGAACAAGGCTGTACTGTATACAGTTTTAAAAAATTGAACCAGTAATTAATATCCTCAGAAAAGCTAATAATCTCACCGGTGAATTCTGCTGAGGGAGAAATGGTGTCAATCCTCTGTAGTTTGTGTCACAACACAGAAGTACAGGAACCATTCCCCGACCCACTCCATTTCCTTACCTGTGAAATGGGGACTTATCTATCACTTGACCCCATTGTGAAGATTAAGTTCCATAGAATACCTGGTTTCGACCTTCCAATTTCTTCCCCTCCTTCAACTGCAGAAGTCTATTCCCATTCAATGTATTAGGTTCTTTCAAAAATCAAATGAAGTAAATTCCATTTGCACTTAGACGAATTCAGAACAAATGGTGAAAAGTCACTTCCTCAGGAGTAAACCCATTTTGAGTAAGAATCATGAGCACTAAATATGATTACTCATTTGGATTAAATATATCTGTGTAGGGCTGGGGATTTAGCTCAGCAGCATAAGCACCTGCCTTACAAGCAGGCGGTTGTGAGTTCGATCCCCAGTACTGATAAATAAATATATATATATATATATATATATATATATATTATCTGTATAATACTGTAGTGTTATAATGTGACATGCACATAAATGAGATTTTTAAAAACCTCTAATATTTTTCACTGAATTCCTTGGGTCTTCTTATGTGCTCGCTTTGGGGCTCCTCTGGTATTATGAAGCATCTCTGAACTCTGATTTCTGCCTCTGTGTGTCCCATGGGATCCACTAACGTGGGCATCCACAGGATGTTGGGCTGTGTGTCAGCATCCAACCAATGGCACCAAGAGCTGAGTCCCATCTGGTATCAGACCACAGTCGCTGACAATTGCACTGATAATAAAGACTGATTTCAAATTCGTAATCTAAAGGAAAATCTTTTAGAAAGTCTTTTCTACTTGCAGCGTTGACATACAGTGACATTCTCCCTTAGCCCAGGCCAGCCAATGACTCTGAGCTCTGGTGTAGGAAGGAGTGGATGTGCCACTTAGATACCTCTGGTTTGCAGAAAAGTTTCATCCTGATTATTTCTTAAGAACTTGCTTTCGACTCAGAACCGTCATCCTGCTATGATTGACTCTTTCAGAGCTGCAGAAAACCACCTGCTCGCCTCTCGTCCAGTGTCACTGGCTAAGTGGGGGTAGGGAACTGGCTCTTCTGAAAAATAACCTCATCAAGAAAAAACACTAGGGAAGGTAATTCTACATCCTGCCATACCCCTTGCTTGCCAGAGCAGACAGCTTTGCTATTAGGATGCCCAGCCAAACACAAATAATCTACTGCCAGAATGAGCTCCTTGGGACAATTTAGGAATCTTTGGAAGTGAACGGCTCTTTGAGCTGGAATGTAGCCCAGGTCCATTTTCAAACCCAAGTCAAAATGACAAAGAGCAAATTTCCAGGTGCTCACCCCTCAGTGTAGGATTACTTTAGGTTAGCAGCTGCACTGTTTATCTAGTTATGTAAGGCTTTTCACCTGATATCACAATGGCATCCTTACACCATAGGCTTCAATGCAATGCTAGTGAGCTCTTTAACTAGTGCTGGTGCCTCTGGGTTTGAACAGCATGGTGGAAACAAAAGTTATGCTCATGACGCTCAGCCTAAAACACTTTTACATATTCACCTTTAAAATACTGCAAAGATATTTCACTTAGAATGAAAAACGGGATGGTAAGAGCTTTTGGATGAATGTGCTATTTTAATCACAAGCATTTCCTGAGTGGGTTCACAAGCAGGCTTAAAAGATCACTCAGTGTTTCCCCTACAAGATCAAATTTTGCTCTTGAAGTTGAGCAAAAACCTCAATATGTCCTCTAGCTTTACTTGCTTAGTTTGCTGTTTTTGTTGACTTTAAAAATCACTAATTTTGGAGGTTACCCAATTGAGCAACTGTTACTATCATCCTGCTGGCTTTGCTGTAGAGGACACCTCTGAGGTGTATTTGCTGAGGTTCCTTTTCAAAGACTTGACTACTTTTGATGGAACCACCAACTGTTCTCATGGGCCAGCACAGGATGTAGATAGGTGACTTTTAGATATTAAGGGCCCAAACTCCATGCTCAAATTACCACTAATTCCATTGTCTGAACATACATTCTGTGATGATTTAAGAAGACTGATTACACATGTGTGAATTATGAATTATTTCATCTCTACTCACTACAGCCCAGATCTCAGACCATCTAGCTTCCTTATCCTCAAATCTTAGCCTGAGAAAGATTGACTTCAGAGGTGGGCTTTTGGTCTCACTCTTGACCAATCATGAAGAAACTTCCTCTGTTGCAAAGCTCTTTGTTCCTGTACATGGGCTACGATGCCAGGGCACCGGACTGGTTCCATGAGACTGATTACACACAGAAGACAGCAGTGGCAAGTGTCTCTATAGTTTTGACAAGGGTACACAGGCAGTTATCTGAGTTATAGAAGTTCTGGAACTTCTCAGTGTCATATTATTTTGTAAGAAAGACAGTGCCTAGATTCACAAGCAAATAATCTTTGCTTGGTACTATGACTCCCGGGACACGAACCTTAGCTACTGCACCTCCTAGTACATAAATAGTACTGAACAATTGAACAAATGAATATGAACATAAATATGTAAGATAACCAAGCAATTCAAAACTCATGGGTGGACTGTAAATAATCCTATGAATGCTAACCATATACAGGCTCCATAGTCC